AACGTCAAGCCGCCCAAGGACGGCGTCGCGCCCGAGGAGGTCTTCGACCGCTCCAGAAGCTCTCCGACGCCAACAAACCCGAGAAGGGCGGCAGCTTCTACCTGCAGAGCAAGGTGCTGCGGGCGCGCGAGCGCCTCGAGCGCGAGATCGGGCCCATGGTCGAGAAAGCCCGAGGCCGAGGCCGAGGTCAAGGAGGGCTTCAAGCCGAAACTGTACAAGGACAAATGAGCGGCCCACGGCTCCAGCTGGCTTGCTAAGGCAACTTGATATCTGCGGCCCTCGGACGGCAACGGGAGGGTGTGCCTCTGACGAAACGGCACAGCACGAACGCCTGGCAACCGAAGGATTGACGCCTGATCCGAGTCCTGCAATCCCAGTGCTCTCCACGAGCATCGCGTAAAACACCACGGCCCCCTGCTTTTGGGGCCCTGCACATATTACAACAAACACACACCACTTCTCTCGACTTCGCATGGCACGGCGTTTTTGGGGCGGTACCCGGTTGGGGCATGCCGCATCTTTGGATGGGTTTAGACGAAGAGAAAAAAAGGGAAGACGTCCCAGCCTTGTCTTTTGATAATCGATGTATACTACGAGAAGGGGGGGAGCAGGGCGCCGCGTGGTGCTTAGCAGATTTGAATGCGTATTTTGTACAACACTGCTCAACGTATCAATACGTCAGATGACTCAACGATTGAATCCATGGCCCGGTGATGTAGGAGGATCCTTCGCCCATGCAGTGGATCAACCTCGGCCAGGAGTGGCAGCGTCATTCTTGGTTCAGGTCGGCAACACCGTCGAGCACCGCCTGCACGTCACACTCAAATTCAGCGTCGCATCCGGTCATCGGATCCTCGGATCCTCACTCTGCATGTATGATCCCCACGTCTCAACCGGCTCCGGTGTGTTGGGTCCCGCTCCCTGAACGGGTCTGTGAGACCACCAAAAATTCGGGATCAACTCCTCCGAACAATCACGCTGCACGCCATGTTGATCTCATAGTGTGTATCGGTGATCTTCACACGCCAGAAAGGAACGCAAAGGCCAGACACGAAGGAAATAAATTGAATGCACGAGTTGTCGGCGAACGCAACTCTGCCAGGGTATCTAGAAATATGGACAATACCAATGCCGTCCATCAGCCAACCGACCAGATCCCGTATCCATACACCATGAAGCCAAATCACCAGTATTCCCCCCCCCAGACCGCCGCCAAGCCTAACCATATCATACCATCCGTGACCCTGTTTTGTCTTCCGGTCGTTATCTTGTGCTTTGACGCTGAATGAAACCGTGAGCGTCGTGCGTGCCCTACACGCGCATCGTGGAGAACCGACTGCCCCCCCGCTCAGGCGACATGGGAATCGCCATGCCAATGTCCCCGACGCTCCGCCTCCTGCTCATATCTTGCGCGGACTCCTCCTCGGGCAGGTCCATCATGGAAGACCGGAAGGCCGGTGTCGGTGCTCGTTCGTTGACGGTGGGAAGGTATCCAAAGGGGGAGAGCTCTGAGCTTTGCGTCCTCCGCTTCGGGTGAGGGTGCGCTCGCACGGGGATCCTGATTTGTGCTGCCGTCGGCCAGCCTGGTAGGCCTGGGCCCGTGACGGCTGGGGAACCAAGGATACCTGGGTCGTCGGCGGGGAGGGGTGGGGACGTTAATGATGGGGCTGCCGGTGCCATCGCAGTCGGGGGAGGATAGGGTTCGACGGGGTGGCGGTAGCGGTGCCAGAACATGATGCCGATCGTTGCTGCAACGATAACGAAGACGATGATGCCAGCGATGAGACCGGTGAGTTCGTCGGTGGACAGGCGTGAAGAGGAGGAAGACGGGGCCATTGTTGAAGCGGCGTCGGAGTCGGATTCGGAGGTTGGTGTGGGAGACGAGGTGGAGGTAGGCGCCGTTTCGCTGAGAGTGTTGTTGGAGTTTGAGGAAGGGGATATTACAGACGTGGCGAACGTGGATGGAAGGATGCTCGATTCGACGCCGGAGGATGTCGTCGTAGACTGTTCTCCAGCGCTGGTAAAGGTTATCACGCTTGAGGGGTCGACGAAGACGGTGCTTGTGGTTGTGGTAGTGGCGCCAGGGGCACTGGTGCGGGTGACAATGACTGTCTGGGTGACGGTCGTAATCAAGTCTGCTTCGGCCGGTACTGTCACAGTCTCGATGACCTCGATGGTCGTAGTGGAAGGAACGGGCTCCTGACGCTCGTACAAGTGGGGTGCAGATGAAATTAGAGTTGTGGTAGAGTCGTATGAAGGGATCGAAGAAGATTCGCGCTGGCTGTGACGCAAGTGAGGCTGCTGCCCCTCCTGCCTTGCTCGTCGTGCAAGTCCACCTCGGTTCTTGACAGCAGCGAATTGAGCATCCGTGACCGTCGCAATGGCGAGCTGGAACCCAACTACAGGGTCGACGAGGTTGACAGTCTCAGTGATGGTGGCATAGACAACCTTAGTGTGGCTTCCCTCTGTGACAGTGCCCGTGCGACTGACTGTCGCCGTTTCAAGAGCACCACCCTCTTGT